AGATGTTGTATGGCAACATTTTAATAGACTCCAACTAATAATATGAAATCATTGTCTGCCTTATGTTGCTGTCACTGAATACGATTGCTGTAAAGCACTTGAAACATCGAGTTATGTAAGTAATGTAATAAAAGCGGGGTTGTATCCATAGAAGTCCTAATTTGTTCTGCAGTGCGTCAAGTATGCTTGCTACTAAACTGACGGTTTTATTGCCATCATTCGGAAAAGGGTGGCAATCTTGTTGCATCGTGTTGGGCAAAGCACCAATGGTATCATGAATGTGTTGATTACAAAGAACACACATAGCTTAAAACGTTGGTATGCTGTCCATGCCTATAGGAGTCTTTTTGTTTTGTTAGCTAACCAATTCTAACATAGCAACTAAGACCGATTTGTTACTAACTCTAACTATAACTACATATGGATATAATCTGAAATAAAGAAGTTGTTATTTAAACAAAATAATTTAGCTTCGCTCGTGATTTACCAAAGTCATTCAAAGATTTTTATAGAAATTCTACACAATTATTTCCTAATAATACTAAATACAATTTCTGGTTTTGTTATAATTATTATAAATCGGGAGCAATACTCATTTTAACACCAGCGTAACGATCTATAGTTACAATAATTGGAGTCTAAATAAACGCGTTCGATGTTTTAGTTTCTCATATTGTTATTTACATTTAAATCCTATATGATATATACTATGGCGAAAACTACTTTATGTCCTTAATTATTGTGACCCTTCCCGATAGCTTTGAGAGATTCCTACTCTAAAATTTAATCCCATTTGTAGAGGTCAGGCAAAAGGGTGCAGTCATCCCGTACTTATATATATAGACTATGTTTTTCTGGAGATTTTGCTCTCCCATTACTCCGTTCCCTTTTACTTATTGCCTGATGTTATATAGCCTACGCTTGATGGACTATCCAACACGAAGAAAATTTTTCAATTCCAATCAGTAGTAGCCTTGCACCAAACAAATAAACCGTTCAGCTTTGAAATATAAATATGTAATATCTACTTATAAAAATTCTTTTGGCGAGAAATTTTTCTATTTGATATGGTTTTTCTATAATTTGTAAACCTCAAAAGCAGTGTTGAGATTGAGATTGATTGGAAGCGTTTTCTAGGATTTTCCGATGCAGATAAAACCTGGTTGCCAGTAGCAGAAGGATACGAGCATAACAATGTGGCAAATGAGAAGGCTGCAGCCAGATCTCACTACCAGGTGTACAGATCTCTTACAGGTTTAAGAGCCAGGCCAGCATTCCGTCTGGGACGATATGAATCTGTTGCCCTTAACAAAGACATCTTTGCTTTTAAAAGGTAAATATTTCTATAAAGTAGTAATAATCTTAATATATATAAATTACGTGTCACGGTTTTGGTCCTCTATGGACTCCTAAACTACCGAACCGATATCAATCAAATTTACACACCGTGTGTAGTTTGATCTAACTTAAAAGATAGGATAGCTAACATCTTAATTTATACCCGCAATATTATTTTTTTGCAAAATATTTGTTTTTATTTGATAGTCACAATTCTAACAGATGGCGCTGTGTTGAAAGTACCAACGTTTCACTTAAGCTACAATTTAATGGCAGAACCACCAATAAAGCATGGTGGTCCCCATGACTGGTGTTCTCCTACCGTTTCCCTTGAATAGGTTACTACTATGTAATATAACTAAAACCTTAGCCACAGCAACGCTTGGCCGGTCTGCTAGTGTTTTATATTTTTGAAAACCAAAACACATAGTTGCTAGTCATACTAGAGACATCTCTGTATTGTAGGTGACTAGCCTCCTTCATGGTATATACCTATTTAACAATGCTTAACGGGAATGTACACAGAAAATTATAAAAACACTAGTAGACTCGGCCAAGCGTTGCTCTGGCTAAGATTTTTGTTATATTACATAGTAGTAAACTATTCAAGGGAAACGGTAGGAGAACTTATGTGAAAGGTAGATAACAGCTTATGTGAAACGTTGATAATTTTAACACAGCGCCATCTGTTAGAATTGTATCAAATAATAAACAAATATTTTGCAATAAATTAAAATTGCGACTATAATTTGAGATTTAAACTATCCTATCTCTCAAGTTGGATCGAACTGCACATGGTGTGCAAAATTGATTGATATCGGTTCGGTAGTTTAGGAGTCCATTGAGGACAAACATTGTGACACGAGATTTATAAATATTAAGATTAAAGATTGTTTTTATAATTTTCTGTGTATGCTTTACCATTTTATGTAAGGAAAATAATATATAAATGTTAAATGAGACATATGTGTATGTGTGTCAGTGTTTCGTGTTTGTGTGAGAGGTGTGGTTCAGTATTTATGTACCCGCATTTTGTACCAAAGCTAGAATTGGGAGTTCGTTGTTGAGCTTTTAAGGCATGATTTATTATCTTTTATTGTTTTCCCAATTATCTGTGGTACACAAAAATGACAAGCAGCTACCGATTTAACTTTATTCAGCCTTGATGACTAATACTTTAGCTTTCTAACAGTAAATTTTAATCACTTTGAGATATAGTTAACTTTTTAGCGTAGATTTTTTTACTACATATTAGTATGTTGATTAAATATCACGACTAGAAATGTTTTTCAAATTTAACATGATATACTAAACTTTTTCCCTTTATTAATTTTGATGTTAATTAGACCTACATAAGCATGTATAATAAAAATTATAGTGTGTAATTTTGATTGAATAAAGTTGGATCTTGATCGGATATCAGAAATATCCGATCCGATTACAAGAACGTGATTTTTTTATCACAATTTTGTAATTTTTTCGTAATATAAGAATTATTTCATTATAAGGATTCTTTTTGTGCACGCCATCCGCACTCATCATCGAGGCCACATATTAGTTCTAATTTCTATAAATAAATAATACAGAATATACACAGCCTCAGACAACAGTTTTATGTAGTCTTTATGTAGTATTAAAAATAACACTCGATTTTATGCCAATACTAAATCAATATTCGAACTTTAATGGGGCATTATTAACAGGTGGTATAACGATGACGCCTACGTAGTCGTTATGAACGTGGGCAAAGTGTATCAAGTAGTCAATTTGACGGCGTTCGACTTAATATTTGGCCAATTAGAAGTCGAAGTTAGCAGTGTGCTCTCATCTAGGACTTATGGGTAAGTGAATATATAAAATTAAATTTATAAAGTTCTCTTCACTATAACGCGGCCTGGCTCACCGCGAAATTTCGTTGTAGGAATGTTCTCGAATAACCGTATTTTACAATTCATTTTTTTGGAACACGAATTTAATAAAGTTATTAAGATTAATTTTATAACAACGCAATTGAGACAGATGCAAAGGTACGCAAAACTAATTACGGACTTGACAAATCATTATAAATTTCACACTACAGAAATACAACTTGAAAAATCTTCGCGTTATAGGCGTTATATTTGCGACAGAAATCGCGTTATATGAAAACGCAATATAGGGGGGATTATTGTATAGTGTTGTTAATTAGATATTAGACCTCAAATCAACTGAATACCCTGTCGTCGTTTTATTATTTGAGAGGAAATTTATGTTACGAATTAGTGGCATAATAAAAGAAATCTTGGATCAGAAAAGACACGACATACCTTTTAAATAGATTTGAAATAGTTTCTGATATAGCCAATCTTGCCAATGACTCTATACGAGAAGCAATTTTCAATACACTCTAGCTAAAATCGATAAATATAGGAACGTTCAAAATCATTTTAAAGCTATAATGAGATAAATAAATCAAAGCAATTAAAGAAAAAGAATTTATTACTTAAACAATCGCATTTATAAACACAAGTCTAATACGTATATTTTATTCTGAAAAACATTGGTTTAGGAAATCGTAACTTACTTCAAACTTGGAACGCTATTTTTAAGTTATATTTATAAACTCTTTTAATATAGATTCTTTAATTAACTCTTGGAACAAAGCTTATTTTTTTTATGAAAACAATATTGTTTCTAATTAATTCTATTTTCGTATTTCTTTTGCAGAGATACTGTTCAAGCTAATTATTTAGACTTAGCAGCTGATGAAGCGCTTGTTGTGAGGATGCAAGTATAAATTATATAACAATCCACTATAGAATAAAAAGTCAAGGTTGGACGGGTTGTTTATTTCATACTTAGTATAAACATAAAGATTTTTATACATACTAAAGCATTTTATTCCTTTTTGATTGTTTTTTTTTAATTTATAAAAGCTCGGCACACTGATACATTTGTAAAAGAACTACAATATACAATGTTTAATGTAACAAGCACTTATAGGCAAACATGACATACATGATAAAAGGTTGGGTAATCAACCTGACTGTTAAATACGTGGAGCGTGATTTGAACACACGACCGCAGGGTTGAGAGTCACACTCGCAAGCTTATTTTTCAACTAGGATAGCCATAACGATATTATATCATTTATATTTATCATACCTTCTCTGTAACTCTTCAAACGAAGACAAATATCCTTTGAAGCTCATTCATTAAATACTAATTACTCTTTCATCTCAAAGGGTTAGACTTTCAAATGGTAAATAGACTCATTGACTAACTTAGCTTGTAAGCGTTTATTAAATACATAACTGGTAGGTACGTAGCCTCAGAGACAACTATTTAAGCTTATGTTAAGTTTCTATATTTCTTGTAATACTACATAGAAATATTAAAAACAAAAGCTGTGCAAGTGAATTTACTATTATATATTAAGACCAATGTTACCTAAGTGCCTGGGCAAATTTGGAGAGATTTTAAGAACGATACTATGTATTATAGATATATTTTTATTATGCAATTCTTATCAAAGTTTTCGATAAAAATCTGTCAACATTTTATCGATGTTTTCAAATTGATAAGTTGCTACAATATTATCATCTTAAGAGATGATAACTAATCTTATAAATACCAGATTAAAGTGAAAAATATCGTTGTAAGCCACGGGTGGTAAGTTTAAGATGAAAGCGTTAATATTTCTGTCGATTTTGGTGATTCTGGGAGGCGCTTATAGCAAGGTTGAATCAGATTTGGAGTGGTGGGAATCAACTATTTTCTACCAAATATATCCAAGGTCTTTTGCTGACAGTGATGGAGATGGAATCGGCGATTTAAAAGGTATTTATTTGCATAGACGAAATTATAAATAAAAGAACAATTAAAATTTATAACTAAATATCGTAATTTTTTGTTTACAACGGATGGATTGAATACTAATTTTTATTTAGTTATTTCGAACTCCAACAGATAATGTTAGCTAGATACATAAAAGTATAGCCAAAGATGGAATACTTTTTTTTTTTTTTTTAAAGACACATCAATTGACCTAGTCCCATGTTAAGCTGGTGAAGCTTGTGTTATGGGTACTAGGCAACGGATATACATACATATTATAGATAGATAGACATATAAATACATATTTAAACACCCAAGACCTAAGCACAACACTAAATGCTCATCACATCGATGTTCGTCTCAGCCGGGGATCGAACCCGGGACCCATGGATTCGCAGTCAGGGGTACTAACCACTAGACCAATGAGTCGTCAAATATACTCAATATTGTATTTATTGTGTAATAACATTTTTAAAAGAAAATACATAAAACAGATTTAACTGTGTTTTATGTGATGGTGTGTATATAGGTTCTGTGCGTTAGTATGATTTGGATATTTTTAAATCTCCTTTTAAGCATATGCCGCTTTTATATAGAAAGTTTCTAGTCGAAAGCTAGAAAGCGACGATCACTTACTACATTAATTAAGAATTAAAAACAATTAAAACTTTCGATTAAAGCTTTTTAAATATAAGTTTTATAAAATACAACAATGTTTTTAACATACATGATGGATACCAATCGCATTCCTACAGCGATAGAGCAGTGTTGGCCTAGTGGCGACTCTTATCCGTAAGGTCGAAGGTTCGATTCCCGACAGCACCAATGGACTTTATTTCTAGTGCGCATTTAACATTCGCTCGAACGGTGAAGTCATGAGGACTTGCCATAGACTCAAAAAGTCGACGGCGTGAGTCAAGCAAGACTGATCATCTACTTGCCTATTAGTTAGGAAACAGATACAGAAATCTGAGGACTAGACCTAAAAAGTTAGTAGCGACACTGATCTATTTTATTTAAAGGCTATCCTGTTATATATCTCAAATAAATCAATTTCTAAATGGTTTGTGTATATAAAAGTTATCTTTTATATAGTGACGATTGTAATTTAAATTATATTTTTAATAATCATTTTAGGAATAACAGATAAGCTACATTATATAAGAGAACTCGGCGTTGGCGCAATTTGGCTCTCACCAATATTTCAGTCACCGATGTACGACTTCGGTTATGACATTTCTGATTTCTACGCTATACAACAGGAGTATGGTACCATGGAAGATTTTGAGGAACTCTTAGCAAAAGCGAATAGTCTTGGTGAGTTTTTACTGCAATTAGAAGATATTTAGTGATTTAAGAAGAGATTTTGATATAAGAGTTGGCCTAGTGGCTTCGATGCCTGTGAACCAATGGAATTTCTATGTGCACATTTCACATTTGCTCGAACGGTGATGGAAAACATCGAGAGGAAACCGGCTTTCCTTAGACGCAAATAGTCGACGCTTACTTACCTATTAGGTTGACAAATGTTCATGAAACAGATTCAGAAATCTGATGGCTAGATAAAGAGGTTGTAGCGCCACTGATTTTTTGACATAAGTACATTAATATACTATGCCAAACTATAGCTTGTCAATGCTGATATACTAGTATAATATTATATATTATAATATGTATTGTTACTGGTTTAGAAAGTTTATCGTATTATCTTGACACCTTGCGTAATATGGAGGAGGATAAAATAGTCAAACAAAGATATCTGAGATTGTTCTTATAAATCATATCAAATCTGATTATTTTAGAAATTACTTACAACACAACACAATAATAATTACCCTTTATTCATGTACATCTATATTAACGTACATTTAACAAAAATACAGGGGTCTAGGCTCCGAATATTATTTTGTCCCATTCGGTGTCGAGACTCTTAGTCCGTGGGGTCCTAGCCCTATAAGGCTTTTTAAGGAAATGGCAAAAAGGTTAGCCGACATCACAAGAGACCGAAGAGCTGGCAGCTACCTCGGACAAAGATTTAGTCTAGCTATTCAAAGGGGGAAAGCTGCCAGTATCTTCGGAACCTTGCCTAAAGGGACTCCTTTTAATAATTTATTTTAGTTATTATATTTTAAAGTTAGTTATTGTTTTTATTGTTCTTCTTTTTTGTGCATGTGTGTGTTGGAAATAAAAAAATAAAATTTAACAAAAATGTATATCAATAAAAATTTTACTACTGCAAGATACGGTGCCTGTCCGGGTGAAGGCCTCCTTCAACTTTTTCCGCCCTATTTTATATTTTGCTATCGTCATCCATTTTTTTCCAGCTAGAGTAGCTGGGTTGTATCCCATCGGTCCATCGCTCTATTGGTCTGCCCTTGTTCCTTTTTCCAATACTGTTTTAGATCATCATCAGTCATCTGCATAACGGGCTACGTGCCCTGGCCATCTCCATTTAACAACAAATCAAGGGCGTAGAATGGATGAACAAAACTGACAAAAAAGACTATTCTTATCCGCCATGTTATTTTACAAAATACTCGTAATGAGATGAAAAGCGCACATGACATAATAAAGCTATCAATGATACCTAATGTTATATATGTAATATATTAATTTATTATATTTAATTTATTATATGTAATTAATTAATATCATATCAATAAAAATTAAAAAACTGACGTTTCGCCGCTATCAACTATCATGGCTTGACATTATACCAGGCAAACATGGCGAAATATGAGCACTTACATTATATAGAGAGAAAGAAAGTTTAAAAGTTCTATCTTAATTTAACTTTAAGTTATAAAAAGAAGATCCCAAAAGGTCCTTTATAGGTACCAAATTCTTTATACATGCTTTCATTTATAATCTGTTTTGATGTCGATTCAGATATGAAAATCGTTCTCGATTTGGTACCAAACCACACATCGAATGAAAGTATGTGGTTCCAAGAGGCGCTCAAAGGCAATGAAAAATACTACAACTATTTTGTATGGGAAGATGGAGTGATGGACGATAATGGTGTCATGCAACCTCCGAACAACTGGGTAGGTATCAAAACAGCAAACGTTTTAAAAGAATTAACTTTTTAATCCGGCTCGAAAAGCGTCGAAAAGAGCTGGTACAAAACGGATTTCAATTTTTAGTTTGAAATTGGTTTTTGTGAATGTTTTATAAAAATATCTTTAATTGAGTGCGTTCTCTTTTTAAAATATTTATATTCTCTATTCATGAAGCGATATCTCGAGTTGATTTAAATTATTTTAACTGGTACCACGCATCGTATTTATACGTTTATAGAAAATTTAATACTGGTTTATTAGTTAGATGATCGGTGTTTAGCTATTTGTTCATGATTCAATTAAAGGGATTCTTAATTTAAAAATTGCCTTACGCTATAGCGTGCATTTTTATTTTATTTACACGACCTGGATACAAGTCCATTGGCCAAAATTGTAACATTCAGTCAGATTCGATTTTTGAATGTACTCTACAAACCAAAAGCGAAATAATCACTGAAATATAGGTTTCTCCTGAACGTATCATCATCACATACATATCACGTCGTTATAAATATAACAAGTAGTTACAAACTTATAAATCTAACAACAGTTTAATTAAATAAACGAATAGCTAGAGATATCTCGTGCCTTGTCAGTCACATAAAACGTGGTAAAAAATAACCTTTCGCAGTGCCGGCATTTTCCTTAACAAACTCTAATTGAAATATATGAAGCCGTGAAAATGTACGGACTACTTTAACTCACTACAATAAAAAGGAATTTTTAAAACGATTGCACAGGCGTATTCAACATTCATCTAAAGTATTTAATACCAGCTTAATTTTTACTTTAAAAAGTTTAAAAGGGTGTAAAATAAAAAACGAAATGATGGCGCTGTTCATTTGTTTGTAATTGGTTATACGGAAATACGGATCGTGTCGCTTATCTGTGATTGCTAGAGTTGTTGGTGAATCACAATAAAAAAATATCACCACCACGAATCTGTTCAGTGTAAGCCGTATTTTCCTTTTTTGTTTTGCATACTCAGCCTCAAAGCTAAAAAAAACACTTTGCTGTGTTAAGAACCATTTTCAATATATTTAAATCCTTACTTTCTTATTCAATCAATCAATTGCATACTTCAACCAAAATACTTTCTATTCAAAGATATTTTCTTTTCTTTTCATTGAGATATTTTTTTTAACCAATACATCAGTTTAAACGTAAAATTGTCTGTGAAAAATAGTTAGTTATTTCCCTTTGTAAAGTTTTAAACGAAAACTTCTTCATCTTTCAGAGGAGTCATTTCAGAGGAAGTGCATGGGAGTACAGAGAGGAAGTTGGGAAGTACTACTTGCACCAGTTTGTTGTTGGCCAACCTGACCTTAACTACAACAATCCAGATGTTGTTGAAGAGATGAAGGTAGCTTATTTGGAATTCCAAATTCAAATTTTTCTCCAATCACACTCATACATAATTTTTATTATTTATTTATTTCAATGGATCGTAAATTGTTATTACAATGATTTTTGAGTTACAGTTCTGGTTCAACCAAACTTTTCAATGCTATCAATAGCATTTAAAAATAGAGTGACAGCCGCGAGTTAAGTTCGGTAGCAGTTGTTGTATGGATATGTTCAGATATATGTTAAATGAAACACATTGTTTGATTGTTTAAAACATGACCTTATAACAAAGACAACATTACGGGTAGTGGGGTTGCGACGCTGTATTAACTTAAAACTAACTTGACTTATTGAAGAGTTCGTAAAACTTATGTTATTGGACATCGAAAACGAGAATGTTAAATTAAATTATTTTGAGTGTGGTAAAAACTAAAGGCCTCATAAATATATATACTAGTATGTAACTTAATGAATGTTAGGTTAGGAATTTGGTATAAGATTTCAAAGTAACTAAGAGCCTCATAAAATAATCTATATATAAAAGAAAAATGGTCTTCGTTTGAGGCTCCTTCACGCCTAAACCACTGATCGTATCGATAACATGAAACTACCACCATTCGATGCGAAATTTTTCCTAGATGGTTTATGGCTATTTATTTATTAAATTCCAACGTTCCTTCATTTTTTTATTGCTGTTTTACTTTTATGAAAATTTATCCATACGGACTTCACCGCGGAAACATTCGGGGAGGCTTCCTAGAACCTCTAAACGTCAACATCTGTTAAAAACTCGATTTTCGAAATATTTCAATTTTCTTAGCGGGAAGTTAAAAAGAAGAATAATAAAAATATGAAAAAAAATAAAATAATGAAACATAAAATTTATTTTAATTCGTCCAGCAAAGCGGGCGCGAAACGGCTAGTATTATTATATCGTTCAAGTATGGAACGCTTATAAATTTTAAAAAATGGAAGGAACGTAACATTTTTAATAGGTTCAAATTTAGACAGTTAAAAATTAACTAATTAATTCGCATCATTTTTTCAGAACATAATCCGATTCTGGCTAAATAAAGGTGTCGCTGGATTCAGAGTAGACGCCGTAAACTGTTTGTTCGAGGTAGATAAAGAACTTTATGGGGGTAAATATCCCGACGAGCCGCTGTCAGGACGCACTGACGTGGATCCCGAGTCTCACGATTATTTAGACCACATTTTTACGAAGGACCAAAACGAAACATACTATATGGTGTATGAATGGAGAGATGTGTTCGATGAAATATCCGAAAAAGATGGACTTCCAAGAGTCATGATGACTGAGGTTTATGCGTCAGTAAAGGATGTCGTAAGATATTTTGGTGAAGGTGATAGAGAAGGTGCTCAAATGCCGTTTAATTTTGATTTAATCACTGATGTTGATGCGTCATCATCTGCTGCTGATATCAAGAGGGCTGTTGACAAGTTTTTAACATATAAACCTCTTGATAGGGACGCCAATTGGGTGGTAGGTATTAATTATAATTATTGTCTTGATCTTAAAATTATTCGGTACCTTTAAGAGACCTTTGACCTGCTTTACTGATAATAAATTAAAGATTTGTGTTTTATTTTCATATTACTTCTATTTATTATTCATTGTTGTTGTTTCTTTGAATTCTTTTATCTGCTGTTCTTTTTGTGTTGTGTTACTGTTATTAGTCAGTTCAAACAAATTTTGTCTTTAAATAGAATCGGCCTTATGTGCCTTACACATTGCAAATGTATGTCTTCAATTTTAAATAGAGATTCTATATAGAAACATACGTTTATATTATATTTATAAAATGACTTGATACTTGCAGGTTGGAAACCACGATAATAGTAGAATGGCGACCAGATATGGTTCTGCTTTAGTAGATGGTATAAACATGATCGTGTTACTTTTACCTGGCGTTGCTGTTACTTATATGGTAAGTAATGATCACCGTATCACCTCGACGTCCGTCGTTTCACAACTGAGCGTTTTTTAAGGCAGTGTTTGTCGCGCACCACCACTATGTGGATTAAGCTGCCTTTTGAAGTATTTCCGAACCAATTCGACTTAGGGTCCTTCAAGAAAAAGTCATCTTTAAAAGGTCGGCAACGCACTTGCGAGGCTTCTGGCAATGTGAGTGTCCATTGGCGGCGGTGTCACTTAACATCAGGTGAGCCTCCTGCCCGTTTGCCCCCTGTTCTATAGAAAAAAAAATGTGGCACCAGCTGCCAAGTTAAGTATTTCCGAACCAATTCGACTTAGGGTCCTTCAAGAAAAAGTAATCTTTAAAAGGTCGGCAACGCACTTCCGAGCCTTCTGGCAATGTAAGTGTCCATATCACTTAAGATTAGGTAAGCTTCCTGCTCGTTTGTACCCTGATATATATTTTAAAATAGGGCTTTACAAACGGCTCAAATACAAGAGTCTTTCCTCCAACTTCGATTTTGTTTCCTTTGGAGTAGAGACTCATGGGCCGTGGGGTTCAAGTGTACAGACGTTAATTAAATAATTAAGTTGGCGCCTGGATAGTACTTGTGAGCTTGTGCTTTCCTCGCTCAACAAATAATTATCGCAATACAGCTAGGAAATGCTGCCAGAGTTAAAGCTACACTGCCACAGGGACCAAACTTTTTAAATTTGTTTTTATTTTTAATTATTATTATTATATAGGTTAAGAAAATTGTAAATACTGTATATTTGATTGTGATGTTTAGTTATTGTTAATTATTAGAGAACTAATCTCTCTAAAATATATATATATGTGTTGGATATAAATACTATAGTATTACTAGCTGTCCCCGCGAACTTCGTTTCTCCTTAATGTGATTTTACATAGCCTGCCTTTTTAGTACATACCAACATGGAACATTTTGCTATGCTACCCCAGAGACTGTTCGGTTTGGAATGAAAACTTTTTAGGTTTTTCTATGAATTTTTCTCTATATTAATAATAATATATTAATATTATTTTTCTCTATATAGCATAGTTCAAGTCATATAATTTTAATTAACAAATAAAAAATAGGGGTTGATCGTAGAGGGGTGAAAATTACGTGATACGTGTATTTTGTGTGATGTATCATAAAAAAATAAAAACAAAAAATTGTATCTAAAAAAATACAATTAAAATTTAGGGATGGACCACCCTTAACATTAAGGGGTTTGAAAGATAGATAGTAGCCGATTCTCAGACTTACAGAATATGCATTAAACATTTCATAAGAATCGGTCGAGCCGTTTCGGAGGAGTATGGGAACGAACATTGTGACACGAGAATTTTATATATGTATATATAGAGATTATGTTATAATATGTTTGACCACAATATTGTTTGTTTGATACAGCATTTTAAAGTACTGTTTTAAATCAGCGGTGTAAATAAATTATTTCTGAGAATATTTGAGTAATAAGGCTCTTTGAATAAATTAAACATTCTAAAAGTCTACCAAAAATTTAACTTACCGCAGTTTCTTAATAATAATATTTTGGAATACATATTTTATTTGATTATAATTAAGCGCAAAAGTTCAAGTTATTAATGAGTGTTAAAGTAAACTTTTACAGCCAATTTATTTTATATACAGGGTGAGGAAATCGGGTTGGTCGACGGATTCGTAAGCTGGGAAGATACGGTAGACCCATCTGGATGTAATACGAACGATCCTGTTAATTATGTCAAGTCTTCCAGAGATCCTGAACGAACACCCTTCCAATGGAACGCTGAAATAAATGCGGGTAGGTATTTATTTTTTAACGAAAATAGAGTTCAAAACTGTTTAAGTATTGGCATGCTATGTTTCTATAGCAAAATAAATATTTAGTTAAATTGGTGGGTAGTCATCTGGATAAAGTGTGTAATTATTTAAATTATCAAGTGTGTTATAAAGTCCGTGATCCGTCACCAATAATTTAAAAAAAATAATAATAAAAACTTTACTCATGACAAAAGGGTTGTGACAAAATTCATCTGTCGCCAGTCCGACACTAGGAAGCCCCTGTGTTGTCGGTAGCAACATAAATATTATTACGTGGTTACAACATGTAACCAGTATTTTTTTGTAGGTAATTTTAGTGTCACAACTAAGTCAAATAAGTAATATATTAAACTTTCAAATTGTATATTTGTATTTCTTAATCTAGTTTGTCTTTCATTTTATTGTATTTTTTTTTCTTTTGTCATTGTAATGCTTCCCATTAAATGTTGTTATTGGTGCACATTCATGTATTGTGTCTTTGTGTGTCGTGAGTTTTCTGTAAGTGTTTCGTTAGTGTGCCTTTAAAATAAATAAAATGTAAATAATTGCTATGACTGAGACTTGAGACTCTTCACGAAGAGGTCCAATGTTTAACTCACACACTTGCGGCATTTTATTGCAAGCAATGATTAGTTCCGGTACTAAATACTTTCGAAAAGCTCACACAATATTACCATATAATATTTAATCCAAATAAATGAAATCCATATCTCTTAAAGGATTTTCTACGGCTGACAAAACATGGCTGCCTGTAGCAGACGGGTTTGAAATGTTAAATGTTGAAGCGCAGAAATTAGCGGAGCGGTCAAATCTGAAGGTTTATCAAGCTTTGGCGGATATGAGGCTAAACGGAGTGTTCAGATATGGACGATATGAATCCTTGGCTTTGAACAGCGACGTCTTTGCTTTTAAAAGGTAAATAAACATGTTCCTTTATAAATTCAAAAATCATTGATATATATAGGTAAAACAATGTTTACTTATGAACGTCAAACAAGAAATATACATTAAATGCTTCTACATTTACTACCAGTTCTCAAATCAAGGGTGTAGAACGGAAGAGAAGAACTGGCAATAAACTCTCCGCCACTCTTTTTAATTGCCAAATTTTTTGTTTTACTCAAAGTTTGTAAGGAGCTGCAACCATTACACCATGACATCTTAAGTAATTAATTATTATATAAGGGTTTTTATAGCTGTAAGAGCAGTGTTGGCCTAGTGGCTTCAACCTGCGACTTTCAACCCTGAGGTCATACGTTTGATCTCCGGCGGTGCACCAACGGGCTTTAATCTGCGCATTTAATATTCACTCGAACGGTGAAGGAAAACATCACGAGGAAACTAACTTGCTATAGACCAAAAAAGTCGAGGCGTGTGTCAGGCATAGGTAGTTGATCATCTACTTGCCAATAAGATTGACAAATGATCATCAAACAGATACACAAATCTGAAGCCCAGAACTAAAAAGGCACCACAGTTTTTAATTTTATTTGTCGTTGTTTATCTTTATGCAATTCTATTATTCTTCTTTGACTGTGATCCACTCGCTGTTACGGTAAAGAGAAGGCAATCTTGGATAAAACTACTCGATGAAAATAAATAAAAGTGATCAACGAAATTGTCTTGAGGACTTAATCCATATTTAACATTGATCTTAAGTTTGATACTCATACATAATCTATCTATTGCTTAAACTGAAACCAATCCTTTAAAAATATTTTACCAATTTCAGCATTACATATTACTAAGTATATTTGAAATCGTTTACAATAAATTTTAGTACAAAGTTCCTATAAAAAAGTCGGTATTTTAAAAGAGTAGCGAATTTCAACTCGTGACGAAGTTGTTTTAAGTAAATGGAGTAATAACTTTAAAAGAAGTATAATCTTGCCAAAGTATTGAAAAGCGAGTCAAGAAGGCTCTGTATACATCAAAACTTAAAAGCTTTAAGTTCAAAGAGGCTTTACGTAGAGTGATATAATATTAAAGAAAATTGTTTCGTCTTTCTTATTTTCATTATATGCGAACCATAAATCAATATTAAATAGCAGATAGTTTAAAAACAATAATTTCATTTAGTTTTTTTTTGTTTTAGTTATGGTTAGGTTAGGTTAGTAAGTTATTTACAATTATTTTTAATAAGTCAAAGAACTGTGCAGGGGAGCTTCGCTCTTCTTTAATTAAGATGTTTTAATAATTAGCGTTTCATGTACTTAAGTTACAGTTTTGATTTTAAAATATAATTCATTTAACATTACTTATTTATTTAGTTAATTAAAAAATATTAAGATAATATTAGAATCACAAGTATTGCAAAAAAACAAGTTTTAGTGCTATTTCAGTATTAGTTCGTAAAAAAAACACTCCGAAAACGTTTTAAGATACGCATGTTATCATTTGCCATTGGTGGTATTCCTAAGATGATGCATGAAGTACCACCCTTTTCCGAATCACGGTACTAATCAAATATTTAAAAAAAACTTGTTGATTTTTGATGGTAAGCGCAAGTATTAAATGCGGAAATTAGTTCAAACCGGGTTTCAATTCGGCGTTGAGAGTCGAGGCAGAATACGAAATTCCACCCGTATCATTTAAGGCAGTTTTTGTCGCGCACCACCACTACGTGTAACCAGCTGCGCATTGGCGTACTGGCGATTTAGGGTCTTTCAAGGAAAGAGCGTACCAATTATTAAGGCCGGCAACGCACTCGCGAGCCCTCTGACAATGTGAGTGTCCAAGGGTATCACTTAACATCAGATGACCCTCCTACTCCTCCCGTTTGCCGCTGTTCTATAAAAACAAAAACGCACACGAGTTAGAAGTTATACTTCTTTGGCGTAATAAGATAAAATGTTTAAAAAAAAATATTCTACGTTTGTAGATAAAACGACACTAACAATAGAAAAAATCTAAAATGTTGACTTTAGTTAACTTCAGGGTGTCGTTATTTTGTGACGGTGACGCGCGCATCGTAAAAAATCTCATCATTTTTCCCTAACGCGCCAAAAGAAGTATAACTTCAAAAACATTTGGCTTAGTTTTACGTAGCATTTGTGTTGATATGTATAGACTATTTCAGATGGCATAACAGTGAGACGTACGTGATCGTAGTGAACATGCGAGATACAGAGCACGAGGTGGACTTAACCTACTTCGAGAATGTTACCGGAGATGCTAGTGTTGTTGTGAGAAGTGTACACTCGCCGAAGAATGAAGGGTAAGAAATTTGCTTTAATAAATACAATTTATGGAAATTCCATATAGAGACTGTAAGTTATTAGACATTATCTTAAGTTATAAAATATAATCTAATTATATATAAATTATAATTTATAACTATTACATTTTATTTATTTACATCAAGTATACAGTATTTATAATTTTCTTTACGTACAAAGTAATAATAAAAATAATTAAAAAGAAAATCAAAATAAATTTAAAAAGTTTCCGTCTTGTATTATATAGGGTGTCTCAGTAAGAGTGCACTTTTTAAAATTTTAATAATTTTGTTGTCCTGCAAGTGGCAACTCTGAAATTTGACAGCTGTCACCTCTGTTTATTCCGTTTATTAAAAATGGAGCGCTTTTTGAAAGAACAACTCGTTATAATTGTGAAAACTCATTACAAAAGTAACGCTGAAAACGCTCGCAAACTTCACCAAATTTTCAGCCGAGAAAGTGCACCTAATGTGTCAACCATTCGAAGAGTGGTCAAAAAATTTGAAGAAACTGGGTCAATTATGGATAATAAGAATCCTTTGCGTCAACGTACCGGTCGGTCCCTGAAAACATTGCTGCTGTAAACGAGAGTGTCGCCGAATACCCAAAAACATCAATTCGACGCAGCAAATTTTGACTAAAGACCTCCACCTTCATGCGTACAAGATTCAGTTAACTCAGGAGCTCAAACCAGCAGACCAAGGAAATCACTGGCAATTTGCTCAATGAGTAATGGAGCAAAAGGAAGTCGATGCCAATTTTTCGAAAAAAGTCATTTTATCCGATGAACTGAACAGATTATCTCACGAAATTCTGATGTCAACTGGCCACCAACATCATGTGACTTAACGCCGTGCGATTTTTTCTTTGGGGTTTTGTGAAATCTCGAGTTTATGCGAAAAAACCCGAAACCTATAACCATTCCTGAGCTCAAATCGGAAATCCAACGCGTCATCGGTGAGATACTGCCACATCTCTGTGCAAAAGTCATGGAAAATTTCATGAAAAGTGTAATGGCCTGTCATCGGAGCCGTGGAGGTAATTTGCCGGATATGTTATTCCATACATAATCGGAACATGTCTTCTTTACAATGCAATAAAAATATCAGAACTGTGTCATAAAATACTTGTCTTTATTTAAAAATGAAAAAGTACACTCTTACTGAGACACCCGTTATGAGACATATTTTGTCTATTATAAACATTATCACATACAATACTTACTTTACCTTAAACAAATAAGAAACCTAAGCCTTCTTCACTATATATCTGGTAACCTGTATACAACTATTACAATTTTATTACAATAATATAATATAATATATATATTATTACAATAATATAGCCTATTTATGTAGCTTTCAGCTATTTAGAAGTAAGACTTCTGAAGCTCGAATTATAATTTGTAGCATGTGTTCTATTTATTTATACTAACAAGAAAACAAGGAACACTATAATCTAAAGGCTGAATAACACGGCCTTATCGCTTCTAGCTACAAGCCATCTCTTCCAGATTTTCAGTAACAAATATTATCATTTAAGTGTTATAATGTACCTTCCCATACCAATGACACTATAATCTTTTAGGCCTGGGGCTCATTTCTGTATCTGTTTTATGGCCATTTCTAATAGGCATTAACTCTTTCTCATACACATTAACAAGAACAACACACAAACAGTAATAGGTTGTAATATTTACAAAACACACATCTTACAGTATAGGAACTGACATGGACCAGACCTTTTGTTTGAATTAAAAATGACTGTTAATCTATGCGGTTCATAAATTATTTTCATACATTGTGTCAGGTGTGCCCTTTTGATGTTATACTTCTTAAACGCGTTAGGGAAAAATGATGAGAGTACATTTTTATCAATGCGCGCGCACACCGTCACAAAAAAAACCGACACCCTGAATATATGTTCTGGGCAGCTAGTTGGCGCTTGCTGATTTATCGACAAGTTGCATTGTCTGTCATGGCGTAGTGTTTTTCAGAGTAGTGTTTATTTAAACCAAAATAATGATTTCTATACTAATGTGATAAAAAACATAGTGTTTATTGTTAAATATAATGAATAGTACATATTATATCGTTTGGAACTATAATTCAAAGAGGGAAACGTCCCTCTACAGTGCTCGAAGAAAATTAAAAGAATGATATTTTCATTTCAGAGATATGCTTCAAGTATCGTCTCTGCCCGTTGCTGGATATGAAGGAATAGTTTTGAAGATGGTTTAAATAATAAAAATATAATGCAATTTATTTTTTACTGTTTCCCACACCCTATATCTATTTTAAACATTTCTGTTTGTTTACGAATTTAATTTTTAACTAGTATTAATTGAAGAAGTAATATTAATAACGCATAATGTAATTAACAAAATACAAAAATTGCTAATATTGTAAAACATAATTAGGATATAGTATTATTATAACAATAATTTATTTGCAAGAATATGGTATAAAAATGTCGTTACAATCTGTCAATAAAAACACATTATGTCTTATCAATCATATCATCAAAATCAAATCAAATTATATAAAATTCTTATATTATTTGATAACTACATCATCAATTTATTAAAATATATTATTACGTTATCAAATTAATAATAAATATAGTGTTTCACTCAAATGAAAGCAATACAAGTCAAGACAAGTAGGTATACCTAAATAAAGATATTATTCTAACGCAAATTACTTTATTAGGCTGCGCCTGCGGGCTACTATCAAATTACTAGGATTAAATGAGTGGCTAGAAGTAATTGCAGGAGTTAATAACTTTAACCATTTAATTACGCCATTACTGTATTTATATAACTAAAAGACATTATTAAAATCAATAAATATCTTGAATTTATCTGTTTGGTATTGTGTGCCACCCGCACCTTGTGCTGTCATTAAAAAAAGTTTTTCAATAAAAAACCTTATTTTCCTTGGATTTTTCTATAACAGTAGCTCGTATAGATGAACATAGTTCCTTCGACGTACGTCGTTCCAAAACTTAGCGTTTTTAAGACAGTTTTTGACGCACACCAGCACAATGTGGAACCAATTGCCCACTGAAGTATTTCCGAAGCAATTCGACTTAGGGTTAAGAGGACCTAAGAGTGACAGGGACAAGTAGAGCGTGCCAATTTTTAAAAGGCCAGCAACGCACTTGCGAGTCTTTTGGCTTTAAGAGTGTCCATGGGCAAGTAGGGGGTCAGCTTCCTGTGCCTAACACACGCCGTCGCCTTTTTTGGGTCTAAGGCATGGCTCCTCACGATGTTTTCCTTCACCGTTCGAGCGAATGTTAAATGCGCACATAGGATGAACGTCCATTGGTGCACAGCTGGGGATAAGAGTCGACCTATGATAAGTTAGATAAGAGTCAAACCTACGACCTCAGAGATAAGAGTCGCACGCTGAAACCACTAGCCCAACACTGATCTATGAACCGTTTGAATACTAAATTATATTTAACACAACAAATTTGACCCCACTAACTGGGGTAACTGTTTCTCGCAGTTCTATAAACTATCACTTGTTAATTAAACTCTTGGGTTACATTACAATGTTAAGGAATTACTATTCATATAGGTCGGATCAACCAAGTAAATATAATTCATAACGACCACAATACATAAGACATATGAGCAGTTTTGGCCTAGTGGCTTCAGCGTACGACTCTCATCCCTAAAGTCGTCGGTTCGATCCCCGGCTGTGTACCAATGGACTTTCTTTCTATGTACGCATTAAACATTCGCTCGAAAGGTGAAGGAAAACATCGTGAGGAAACCGGAATGCCTTAGACTCAAAAAACGCACAGGAGGCTGATCATCTAGATGCCTATTAGATTAACAAATGATCTTGAAACAGATACAGAAATCTGAAGCCCAGAACTAACTCCACTCATTTATTTCATTCATTCATTCACAATACATAAGATATTTTGCATTGTTGAGACGTATTGAGTAACGGACATTTCAAGTTTATTATATTAATAAACGTGAATTTAATGGAGAAATTACTTATGATCCCTTACGGTTTAAGCTTCACAAAATATTTAAAAATTATATAAAAATAATTCTGCTATATTTAGTGTACATTCTGTCGCCAAAAGATTTAAAAAAAACTCGGGTTGATAATATACGATATAAGAAAAAACATACACGTTCTTTTGTTTTTATTTATATTTTTTAACTTGATTAAATTATTTCATTAACGTTTATATATTCATTTACAAATTTACCCTAGTCACCGGTCATAAAGTGGATGAAAAAGTTTGCCTTGGTCTAGCAAAAAATTAATGTAATTGCTTCTTCGCTAGCGCAAAAAACTCATCAATAACACACAAAGACTTCAATCAAAGTTTTTTTCCAAAGCCTTATCTCCGTCTCGTTTTTGCCTAGTTTATACGATATTGTATCTATAAGATTTTCTTATCTATGTATCTAAGCACTCAGCGGTGTGGTGATCGACTGAGCAACGATGTTATATCCAAAACAAATAAGACGTAACAACTACTGTTTAATGTTAACCCATTGGATAAAATCGACTGCTAATCATTAAATTATCTTCATTTTCATTTCCCTTTACATAAAGAAAAAGCGATTAAGGGGATAGGTTTTTTGTTACAATCAAATCTTTTATCTTTATGATATTGCAAAAGCTTTTGGAGTAATTTTTATGTAATTAGAGGCAAACGGGCAGGAGGCTCACCTGATATTAAGTGATACCGCCGCCCATGGAGAGTCACATTGCCAGAAGGCTCGCAAGTGCGCAGCCTTTTAAGAACTGGTACGCTCTTTTCTTAAAGGACCTTTAGTCGAAATGGTTCGGAAATACTTCAGTGGTTCCACATGGTGGTGCGCGGCAAAATCTACGTTAAATCGCTCAGTTGTGGAACGACAGACGTTGAGGTGATACGGATGGTATTTTGTATTTTGCATTGACGTCCGATAGTGAAACCCAGCTGCAGGTGTTAAATATAAGTAACGACCTCTGCTTAAACCCCTCAGACAAATTTATATTTTTTGTTGTGATATGTTCTAAAGTTGGCACTGATTATATCTTAGTGTTCGTTAATAGTTAAGTAATTGTTTATTCTAAAACGGGTTTATAATGATAAAAAACTAAAACCCTTTTATTTTCATTGCCGCCAAATTGGATGAACACTCCCGAGGCCTTTAAGTTAATTTTTTTAGCAAACTCTTTGTTCGGCAAAATCTTTAATAAATACGCCATAAAGTTTAACGAAATTGTCTACCGACGATGCTTATCATCCTCAATTCCAATTACATTTTTTATTTCAAGCGAGGCAGCCTTTTGAAGTAAACCTTTACTGGTACAAAAGTGGGATAATGGCTCAAACGCAAATTGAATTTGGAAAGAAAGCGTTTATTTCGTAATAACTACTATCCAAGTATTGGCCTAGTAACTAGATCGCGTAACTCTCAACCTCTAGGTCTTGTGTTTGAATCACGGCTGGCCATCAATCGACTCTACAATCTACGTATTTAACGGCGAAGTTAAAGTTGGGCAAAGAAGGATTATCTATTAAGAAAAATGTATCAAGAAATCGACACAATTCTGACCGAGGATTGTTTAGTATTTCATTCATTATTTTGTCGTACATTAGTGATATCTTATAATTACAATTTGCCTTCGTTTTCGAAAATTTATCGGTCCTACCTAACCTTATTAGGAGTAGGTAGGTAGGTAGATAGTAGGTAGGTAGGTACCGGGGTGTCATTTAAAAACAATTGATAAAGATTGATATCATTCAACAATTTAAGAGATATATCTATTTGATTTATCTCAAATGGCTAGTTATCTTTTTCGTTGTAGTATATAAGGACGCGGCTCAGATTAGACATTGCACACAATGAGGTAAGTACAACATTTATGTCAAAAGTATTTTTGGAATTTTTTGAACAATTTTAATATGAACCACATTTATTGTTTTTAAGACTGAGGACGTTATTATTTTTGCCTGCAATTTTTTTAATTGCAAATGCATCCACTGAGAGGGAACTCGATTGGTGGGAGAGTACCATCTTCTACCAAATTTATCCGCGCTCATTTATGGACAGCGATGGTGATGGTATCGGAGACTTAAAAGGTATTTTTTTATACACTATTTTTTACTGTCTGATATATTTTTAGTAATAGATTGTCTTGCCTCCTTTACTTAAAATATGGTAATGGGGTGACAATCTCTACACATTCACTATTCTAAAAATATATTTTTCTCTCTCTGAGGTTCTAAGACTTACGGAGCTAAGAAAGAGTCTATTTTGATGTTTAATACGTTAAGTCTTCTAAATAGTGCGAAGCAATACTTTGGAGAGAGAACACTGGATAGCAAAGATTCTTACATATGTGTCATCGGTATAGTTTGTTCCTTAGCCATCCATAGGAAGAAACTAAAGCGCAGCAAACAATACTTTACATTTTGCTGTTTTTAGTTACATATTTTTATATATATTATAAATTACAAAGCAAATAAGATCAACAACTTAGTAATGCGGTTGCTTAATTTTTTTGTTCAGGAATAACATCCAAATTGGAGTACTTGAAAGAACTAGGTGTTGGTGCGACCTGGCTTTCGCCCATGTTCAAGTCACCTATGTACGATTTCGGTTACGATATTTCTGACTTTTATGATGTGCAAGAAGAATATGGTACGATGGAAGATTTTGAGGAATTACTTGCGAAAGCTAAAGAGCTAGGTAAAATGCTGATGAAACAATAATTTAATTTGTTACTTTAACAGGTGAAATAAATTCATTTTGGTTTTAGACATAAAAGTAGTACTGGATTTTGTACCAAATCATTCAAGTAATGAGAGTATGTGGTTTGAAGAAGCATTGAAAGGCCACGAAAAATACTTTGACTATTTCGTTTGGGAAGATGGAGTAGAAGATGAAAATGGCGATTTACAGCCTCCTAACAACTGGGTAAGTGATACAATATAAAAAAAGCCTAGATCTTGAAACCGTCATAATAAAATATATTTTTTTAGAATAGCGTATTTCGTAAAAGTGCTTGGGAGTACAGGGAAGAAGTTGGAAAGTACTATTTGCATCAATTTGTAATTGGTCAGCCTGATCTTAACTACCGTAACCCTGATGTCGTTGATGAAATGAAAAATGTTATCAGATTCTGGCTTGAAAAAGGCGTAGCTGGTTTTAGGGTTGACGCTATTGCCCACTTATTTGAGGCAGATAAGGAAAATTTCGGAGGAAAGTATCCCGATGAACCTATTTCTGGCCAAAACCTTGAAGACCCTTTGAGTTATGATTACTTGTCTCATATTTACACAAAAGACCAAGATGAAACATTTGACATGGTCTATCAATGGAGAGAAGTTTTTGATGAAATCAAAGAAAAAGACGGTCTTACAAGAGTTATGATGACAGAAGCATACTCCTCACCACAACTTACCATGAAGTACTTTGGTGAAGGCGACCGTGAAGGTGCACAGATGCCGTTTAATTTTGTTCTGATATCTGATGTTAATGGAGAGTCAACTGCCGGAGAAATTAAATATGCGATTGACAAATTCCTAACATTTAAACCAATCAATAAACAAGCTAACTGGGTGGTAAGATTACGCTTGTTCAGTTGTGAATTCATATTATTGTGAATACATTTTAAAAGGTACATTTTTAGGCAGGAAATCATGACAACAGTAGAGTGGCATCCAGATTCAGCCCTAAATTGGTAGATGGGATTAATATGATTGTCCTGTTGCTACCTGGTGTGGCTGTTACTTATATGGTATAGTACTTTATCATTTAATGAAATATACCATTTACAAACTCTTTCTAATGGAAAAATATATTAGGGTGAAGAAATCGGTATGGTTGATGGTTATGTAAGTTGGGAAGATACTGTAGATCCAAGTGGTTGCAACACAGATGACCCAATCAACTATTGGAAGTCTTCGAGAGACCCAGAGCGCACGCCATTCCAATGGAACGCCGAAAATAATGCAGGTATGTTACAGAACTCATTTCAACATGGTCCGAAAAGACGTCATCTGAATTATTACTTTTAGATCAGTTCGTTCTTGAACATGCCTGTAAACTGTCATGGTAGAAACTTTAAAAGGAACAGTAACGATGAGAGTCCAAGAACTTTATAATTGAATTTTTGGTAAACAATAAAATTATTTCGTACAGGTTTTTCAACTGCGGATAAGACATGGTTGCCTGTAGCTGATGGTTATCAAGATCTAAACGTTGAAGTGCAGTCAAACTCTGTGGGTAGATCACATGTTAAAGTTTACAAGGAGTTGGCTCAACTTCGGACCGAACCAACTTTTAGATATGGAAGATACGAATCGGTTGCCTTCAACTCGGACGTATTAGCTTTCAGAAGGTAACGTTGCATTAATTAGGCTAAGAGAAGAGAAGAAAGCTTACTAAAAGATAAACTTACGAAGCATTAAGTAATTAGATACAGCAACGATATATTCATCTTTTATCATATTACATCTTAGGTGGAATGAAAAGTTCGTAGGATCGTATAGATTTGATTTGATTATTTAATATAAGCCTTCGAGAGCGGTACAAGGATTATAGCGGTCATAACAAGGTCATATTAGATTCAATAAATAACAATGCTAAGTAGCTGTCTATTGAAGTATTACCGAACCAATTAGACTTGGGGTCTTTCAAGAAAAGAGCGTACCAATTCTTAAAAGGCCGGCTACGCACTTGCGAGCCCTCTGGTAGAGCGTCAATGAATGGCGGTATCACTTAACATCACGTGAGTCTCCTGCCCCTTGGGCTTTTATTGTTATAAAAAAAATTGTATCTCAAATCCAATTTTTATTAATTCAATAAGAGCAAGTTAGCTTAGTGGCTAGGTGCGCGTAATTAACCCTTAGGTATATAGAAAAAAAAAATGAAGACATAGACAGAAATCTAAGGGTTACTGCGCTTACGTGATCGATATGTCACCGTAAAATTGTAAACCACGTTAGATTGTAATCTATCTTGCCAGATTGTGAACTGTCGAAAGATTGTGAACCTCAACGCACTGCTTACAATTTAACGTATTATTATTCGGTAGATTGTAATCTATCGAAATGAAACCGTCAAATTGTGAAACGGATCGATGAGGTTGAGCAGTGCGTTGAGGTTCACAATCTTTCGACAGTTCACAATCTCGCGAGATAGATTACAATCTAACGGTGTTTACAATTTTACGGTGACAGATATAAATATAGCAGATACGCGGTAAAAGCAATATTACAATTTGAGATAAAAATCTACAACTTTATTATCTTTGGTCTATTATAGTAAGATTTTTTATGTAGAATTAAAATTACATCTAAAATGTAATGCACACAATTTATATGCTAAGTTTAAACTGCTTTTAGGTGAGAATAATTTAATCAAAGACAGTTCAGTTATAAATTCTAACCAACAAAACCACACTGTTATTTATCGCTTTACATAAACGAAGCAAATCGTGTTGGAACACAGAACGTAAGGATTTAGAAATTTCAAGAGAATATTCTCTGCTAGGAAATTTAAATTTTATAAAATAGAAGTTGCAAACAGACTGCAAATAATATAAATCCTTTATAAATTGCAATTGAGATTGCTTTATAAAAATAATTTAAAGTCGTATAAAATGAAGAACTAAAACACCTGTCTATTATTTTAAAATATTCGTAAATTGATTCGATACAATTATAGGTATTAACTCGGTTAACGTGTAAAACTCATCAGTTTTCGCTTAAATCGATTTTATACTGAACTTTAAACTATTGTTGTAGGGTTAAGATTAAAAGCATATTAAAAATGCATTATTTTTAACTTATCTCACTAGATAGATAGATAGCGTCACTACGCTAGAACCCTTTATAGCCATGACTTCAATATCATCTCTCTCATACTTTGGACTTTTTGTTTCGACGTAGTATGAGCAATTGATAAAATGTAAAATGGATTTTCGCTTTTTGCACGAAGGACTTTGAGACAACGGGCTGTTTGGCGAGCATAACTCCGCCCAAATGAAAGGGCCCACGCCCATGACTCGGTTCTCGGTTTAGGCCGTCGTAGGGGTAATTACGCAGATAACTTAACGATAGGCAAAATATCAGTTGAATAATATTTTTAATCGACTTTAAAAAGCCCGAACAGTGAATTAGATATATTTTTTATTCCGCTTAATGTTAAGGATGGTACCTACTAAATTTATTTTTTATTTTTTTATGATACATCATACAAAAATACATACAACCCTTTATTTTTACCCCTCTACGATCCACCCCAATATTTAATAATAGTAAATAGTTATATTTTTTACTATATAATTATAGTTATATTTATATGATATTGAACTAAAAAATGTTTCCTATAAAGAATATACATGGCAAAACAACGTTTGCCGGGTCAGCAAGTTGTAGTATAAAAAATGAAACGAAATGATCAGTCCAATCCTCGAAACAAGTATCCAAATTGTGTAATCCAACACTTTATACAAATGTCAAGCACTTAGCTGTTGCTGACATGTCATTATAATCTGACATTTGAAGTGTTCAGAATATCGTGTTATGACGGATTAAGTTGTTTTGATAAGATCTTTGAATGTTGACATTTAATTCGATATCTTTGGTCTTATTAGATTTATTAATGTGAGATGGTCTCAGTATAATTTCATATTACTTCAATGAAATGGTATCCCTCGATGAACTCAGCTCAGCCTCTCTTCAGAAGAATTATTTAAGAATCGCCATGCTGATAAAAAATAATAAAATAAACGATTTTTTAAATAATAATATATATATATATATATATACTTTTAGACATTCACGGTTGTACAATACTTAATAAACATACAAACACATGCCACAAAGAAAAAAAAAATGAAACCATATTCTTATATAATCTTAATATATATAAATTACGTGTCACGTTGTTTGTCCGCTATGGACTCCTAAACTTCCGAACCGATTTCAATCAAATTTGCACACCGTGTGCAGTTTGATCTAACTTAAAAGATAGGATAGCTTACTTCTCAATTTATACCCGCAATACTATTTTATTGCAAATTATTCGTTTATTATTTGATAGTCACAATTCTAACAGATGGCGCTGTGTTGAAAGTACCAACGTTTCAAATAAGCTACAATTTAATGGTATTACCACCAAAAAAGCATGGTGGTCCCCATGACTGGTGTTCTCCTACCGTTTCCCTTGAATAGGTTACTACTATGTAATATAACTAAAACCTTAGCCACAGCAACGCTTGGCCGGTCTGCTAGTATACAATATATTGGAATATGACTGATGTAATTTTGTCAATTTCAAAGTCAAATCATTTATTTAAATTAGGCCTATTAAAAAGGCAAAATTAAAATTTTTGAATTGTTAAAAAAAATTACCCTAGTTGCCCCTTCGCAAATGTAGTTTCATATGGAGAACAATGGGCAAGAAACTCCATAATTACTCTTTTAAAATAGTTTTTACAATATTTTGTATACATTGATTTGATAATTATATGTAATGACCATGTACCTAGAATAAAAAACTACTATACTAAAATAAAATATGCGCATGGTGCTATAAAATACAATACAATAGATAACTAAATTATTATGTAGATACATGGTACTCACATTCACAAATATTGCAACTATAGATTTTACTTTTTATTTTAAAATAAATAAATGACAATACAAATTTACTCCCTATCATTAATACCTTCAGATTGCGCGTGCGTCTATGACGGTGTGCATTCGAATCGTAATTGTTCACCATACAATTTTTCTATTAATACTGTATCGTACGTTGTGAGAATTTTAAGTCATTCAAAAGTCATGTTTAACCAAAGAGCACATCGGCACATAAAGTTACCTACATATACCAAAAGTTGTAGCGCCACTCTTTTGTTTTCTGTACATAATGACTCATTACATTTTGTTGTTTTTCAGGTGGTATAATGGAGATATATACATTGTGGTTGTGAACTTCAGAGACGAGCCTCACTCTATCGACTTTACTTACTTTGAAGGAGTCAGCGGTCATTTGGAAACTGTTATTAGCAGCGTACAATCACCGAGAATTCAAGGGTAATATAGTCCTCTTAAATATCTATATATATATTGTCATATCAGGAAATAGGCGTACAGTACCCAGGATCTATAAATATTTATAAAAGTAAAAAAATCATTTAATCATATAGGTAACATAATGTAATTTTACATTTACTGCCAGTTCTCAAATCAAGGGCGTAGAACGGAAGAGAAGAACTGGCAATAAACTCTCCGCCACTCTTTTTAATCACCATTTTTTTTACACAACGTTTGTAAGGTGCTGCAACCATTACACCGTGTTCCACATGACATATCAAGTAATTAATAATAATAACATAAATCAAAAAAAGGGTGCGTGTACTTATGTACACGCGTAAGAAGTTATACTTCTTTGGCATTATTAAAAATAGTTTTTAATTGCATGCAAATAATTAATTACAATTAAATAAAGACTGGAAAATGAGTCGTTATAGTCAATAAAGTTCAGTTTCAAATGTAAACTACATTTGAAAAATTAAATAAATAAATATTTATTATTATTCTCTTACAGTGTAACATAAATTCTATTATTATTCGAATGTTGTTTTTAAATTATGTCCAATGCCGTAGCATCTTCCGTGGGCAACTTCATTCTGTTAATTTTGTGTCACGGTGCGCGCGCATCGTAAAATTTCACTCTCATCAATTTTTCATAACGCGCCTAAAGAAGTATAACTTCAAAAAAAAACAAAGACTTGTCCTCTACCAGCAGGAGGAATGGTGAAATAGGAGCACGCACTTACATTCTCGTGGGAATATAGCAACGATTATGCAACTTAAAATTGAACTTGTAGCTCTTGAGATAAGCTCGTTATCATTATCATTATTCTTTGGTAAGTATATGGTTAGATGTGTCAATAAGTTAATCTTTTTTTCAGTGACGTGGTTGAAGCCAACAATGCCAGTATTGGTGGGAGTGAAGCTTTAGTTTTAAAATTGGTACAATAAGATGTTTATTAAGTTTAAATCTTTGGTATTAAACGGATCCAGCTCAGTCCTGTTTATCTTGGTAATATGACCTAATTTCCTACGTAAATTCTAGAGTTTACGAACTAGAAGTCGCGAAACTCAGTTTGCGAAATGTTATATCTCATTTTATCTCCCTTTTATAATGAAAATTCAAATTAATACAGTGTTTTTATAGTTTATTATAATTGATTTTAAGTAATGGATTATTTTAAATTTTAAATTTATTATTAATGCGGCATTTACAATCATAATATCAAATAGTTATAAACATTATGTGGCAGTATATGTTTCAGATAAATAAGGTTTTATAATCTTTATATATATAATTCTTCTGTGAGTGTGTATGTCACTGAACTTCTCTCAAACGACTGGACCGATTTTGATGAAATGTTTGTGTGTGTTCAAGGGGATCTGGGAATGGTTTAGATTCACAAATCAGCCCGGCAGATGGCACTGCAGTCAGTACTTTCATACTTTGCTTAATATCCTAATCGCTTTAAATATCATGCAGTACAACGTCTGTGGGGTCCACTAGTAGTGTTATATAATGCTCGCTTAACCGAAGACCATGTCACAGAACAATTCAAAAGTCAGATTTTCCGAACTGTAAATACATAAACTGTGTAACCTCTGGGTTCTTTAAGTTTTCGCTGTCTCGAAATTAGACCCTCGTCTTCATGAATTATTCACGAGTTTACTCAGGAACAGATTAAATTTTAACTCTCCATTTTACTCTTTTATTGGGGTCCTTAAACCCCTTGCTTGGTCTATGCTATATATTTATAAATGGACTGCCCCCACAAAAAACAATGAAATACAAGCAAACAAAATCTTCAACTTACAAAGAGTAGGCGTGTCTGTCTTAGCACATGTGTGGAATACTAGCCATTTGCACGAATTCAAACGCATTCATTCTCTGAGAGTTTGACTTAAAAAATTTAAGCAAAAAAAATTCCAGCAAAACAGCGGATTGGATATGAGATAGGCACTTAACAATGCTTTCTTTAAAATTGATCAGCTCGCTACCGAATATATCCAGTACTTTTTAATCCGTTATAATCGCTAATACATGAATAAATAAACTATGTTTTTGTTTCACGTTTGTTTTTTTTCTGGTATGTTTACTAAATGTTCTTGGTTGGTTTTATTAATATTTAGATTATTATCTTTTCTTTGTATCATAATGCCAGCCTTGCGATTCTGTAACTCACTTTTCGAACTCACACAGCGGTTTTCACAGCGGCGGTCACGCTCAAATCAGTCGTAAAGCAGTCATAGACAGTGGTAGACATCGCTTTGTAGCTAAAGCCACCCGCTGCACTATTTAATACTTTTTTCGACTTGTTATTGTATTTTTAATGTAAATAATATGCTATTAAGTGTGAATAAAATGAAAACTATCTAAAGCCATAGTAACGCACAGAATACCTTAAGTTTTTTCTATGAATTTTAACTGTCCTTCATAAAAGGTCTATGCTCACACTACCCATCATTAAAAATATATATATTTCATTCAACGCGCTATCTCATCCAGCTTCCTTTGATTAAACAGGAAACATATATACAAATCTTCTCTGAAGTTGTTTAAAAAGAAATAAATCAGAAATTATAACACCTAGCTCTTTATATTTACCTGTGATGTGTTGAGTTATTTAACTAACAATGCAAAATTTATTGACAAAAAGATACAATTTAATTTAAACAAAAACACTTATTATCATCTTCAGTGGCTGTACAATCCCTTGTGGTCTTTTGCCATCGCAATGTTCTCGTGCTTTTTGCATGAGTGAAACCAAGTAGATTCTTTTAGTATTTAACAAACACATAAAAATATATGAAAAAAAAAGTTGGTTATAAGGGTTTACTAGTCGCAAATTTAAAACTTATAGTTTATGTGGGCTGTAGCCCCGGTCTTCCTCGGTTCCTATTCATTTGTTTTATTTTAATTTAAATTACACAATTCTACCATTATAAAACTTTATTGTACATTCATAGTAAACAAGCAACTAAAAGGAAAAATACACAGAAGAAAACTTGTGATTAAACCCGCATTACAGTAATAGTAATACAATATAATGGAATAGAACACAATTTGTGGTAATGAAAATATGATGGCATTTTCGCAAAATTGCAGCGCAGAGTTATTACGTTGGAATTATTGCTTGAGCCGAATTATGCTAATTCCATGATATATTTGTGCAGAGTTTATCAGTTTTCAGGCTTAATTCTTATTATTTTGTATTATAAACTTTAACACCGTTGCAATAAGAACTAAATATTTTTTAAACAGTTATTAATACATATAATAATAAGACAGCAGTCTTATAGTCTCTGTAATTGTATTTGTGTAAAGAAAACTTTACACAAATCATTTAACAAAAATTTCAAAAAGAACGTTTTACTGCTAAATTATTTAAATAGATATGTATGTGTGTATGATTTAAATGTTTACAAAATATCATACATTTCTATTAAACAAGGTATGCAAAACAATTTTAATTATGTTGGTCGCGGAGGTCTAAAAAACCAAGTTCTAGAAACTTATTTAATTAAGATAAAAGTTATAATTTAATTACAAAGTGGCAGCTTGATGCTGCGCACCTTACAAGTCTCGAATACATCTAAATTCTAAGTGTCTTATACTAAAGTATCTTCTAATAATTACAATAATTGTAATGAGATAGTGGGGTGTAATTACTACACCCCACTTTCTCACTATCTCATTATATCATTAAAAAACATCTCATCTTGGCGCGATAGACACTGCAGTGCAGAGCCTGTTTCAGCGCAGATAAATCAGTCACCCACATAGTCCTGGAATGTGTGGCTGTGGCTTCACAACAAACAGAAATCTTCGGACCAATGAATTCGCTCCGTAAAGCATGCAAATTTCCCAGGAAACTTCTAAGCTTCTGGAAGGAGCTGGCTTAATTGGTCAGGAATTTACGTACAACGTAACAAATGGGTGTCTAAGTGCGGAAACTGACTTCACACTGCATATATACCAAAGTATCCCACGATCTTTACCACGCAGAGTATGCTCAATTTGACAGCATTTAGTATATCTAGCGATACACAGAAAATCTTCCAAATATTACGTATGACTCAACAATTATGAACAATCGTTCCACTTCACAGAAGGATTACAAAGCCTTATTGTACCGTTCAAGTACGTATGCTTCATACAATTTCCAGATAATAGGCTTACTGTGCGAGACCTCAATGTAAAGCCTAGAAGGTCTGAGCATGAATTGCTTTGTATGTTTCCTTTTTCATATAAAACCTACAACCTTTTAGGCCAGGGCCTTAGATATCTGTTTTGTGAACATTTTTAAGCTATTGATAGATTTTTTGGCGGGCTTTGAGCGCAACGACCGAATCAAGAAATTCCGTAACGAAAAAACCTAACACACAATGACGTAATATAGGTGCGGCAAATACGCGTTAGAGTGGGACAGAACGCATACTGCGCATTCCCATCTCTCTGACGAGATCGGTGACGTAGCGTGACTCGTGAGCGCGGCCGGTGCAGCCGGTACGCGTTAGAGTGAGACAGACTATATAGGCGATTTAGTCTGAGTCTGGTAGAGTGGTAGATTGAAATAATATCAAAGAAAAAACTTGAATGATCAAAGAAACAAATACTGCATAAATAAAAAATAAATAAATAATTATTATAACTGCATAAGTTGATAAAAAATGCTATGCAATAGCTTTACCGCGGCCGTCCCCTGAGTGCCACACGTTTTTTTTAATCGGCTAGTAGTATCACGTCGTCGACTGATATGTTTTTGACTGATTTCCTTCACATTTAAAAAATTATTATAAAAAAAGTATTCTTCTTTAATTGCGCTTATCTTTCAAAGTTAATGTTAATTAGGTAAAACAATTTGCGGATTACTTGGTGCATGTTACAGGGTGCATCAGGGTGGGTCTTGAGAAGATTTCAAGGACAAAACCATCCGAATTAGTGAATTATTGTGATGCCCTCACACTAGTAGTCAAGTGCTAAACAGTGGTAAGTGAAAACCATACGAGAATAACTGTGTCTTCCCGTTAATAGAGACTGTACACGGACAAGTTCTTATATTAATTCTCCTTTGCGCTTTGTACGTCGAGGTCATCTCATCAAATCAAATCATCAAAGACCACCTCGACGCCCGTCGTCCACAACTGAGCGTTATTTAAGGCAGACTTAGGCGTCCAAGAAATAAGCGTACCAATTAATAGGCCAGCAACGCACTAGCGAGCCCTCTGGCAATGTGAATGTCTATGAGCGGTATCACTTAACATCAGATGAGCCTCATGCCCGTTTGCCCCCTGTTCTACTATGATTCCCGTATTCATAGCTAAAGTGTTATGAATTTTGACGTTCTTTTAATATTAGCTAAATACCTGACGGTTGTAACATAATATTATCTCTAAACTATGAAATGTTATCATCCAAATTAATTAGTTCAAAGCCACCAGCTCAGAAGCTATTCCTCATTCGTAATTTGCGAGTGTTCAATACAAATACTCTTAAATAATAATATACCTATTAGGTCTAGCTTAGCAACGTTTGAGGTTAGTCAATCGGTTCAATATAACCGGTCAGTTGCGTACGCGCATGCCGGAGATAATTAACGGCGCGATCAATTATTTTATACTTAACACGGCTTTTTGTTCGTTCACATTAATTTTAATAGCGTGTTAATGCCGTATAATGATAAAGTTTTCTATATTTAGTGGCAATTAAAGATTAAGATAATAATTATCTCACAAGTATTTGGAACAATTATTATTGATATATTTTATTGTTTCACCAGTAACCAATATTTAAAACTGAGTTAAGTTTTACCTTCCGACACGTAAATTGTAAAGACGATTTAAAGTTTTTAATTAATAAACAGCGTAGTTTAAACAAAAATTTAATTAATTTTGGAACCTTCTTTAAACCTAGAGATAATATGGCAGATTCTTATTCTATTCTTATTAAG